GGCTACGCGTCTGGTTAGATTGAAAATATTTATGATAGTCTGTAATAAAACAAAGAATATTTTACATTCGTTGAGAACAAGTTACCAAATCGATTTATAACATTTGAAAATATTGATCATCATTCATCAGGATTGCCGATGGATTACACAGTAGTAAAGTGAGCGAACAAATTGTTATAGCTGATGAATTTGTAGTGGAAATTGTCTAATATTTTTTCTCCGAGTCAAATCGTGACAGCATTTTAAGCAATGTGCCTGGAAATCTAGACGAGAACTATGTACGACGACTGATGTTTTTTTTTTTTTTTTTTCATCAAATTAAAAAGTTAAAAAACGATTCGCAATAATACTCTACTTTATTTACGTCGCGTTTCGACTCGTAAGAACTACTGCGGGTCCCCGGCAGGGTGTAACGCGAGCAGCGCGGTTCGTCTCCGAAAATTCGGTTCCCACACGTACCTACAGTATTCGGATAATATTATTTACGATGACCAGGAGTTGAACCACGTTATCTTCTTAATCGTCTTTTGCTACCGTGGTGCCTGCATCCGACGTACGTGTATTATTATTGTAATTAATAATATTAAACGCACGAGTAGATGACGGTCGCCCGGGGCCCATCGATGCACGGGCGCCGGTCCGCGGTAGTCGTGTCCGTTCACAAAACGCGTAGTCGTAACGCATTTTCTCATCGGGTCGGGACGCGTTCCCTTCGGGGGAGGGGCGAACAAATCTCCGCCGGGAACTGTATCAACTCTCGCGCGCACGATATGTAAAAACGAACACGTCGTTTGTATTATAACTCCGCGTTATGCATTTTAAAACACGAAAACCGTCGCCGTGCGCGTGTAAAATAATCGTAAATGTGTATTTCGTCCGTGCGCGCGAGCTGTTATTATTGTTGTCGTTCCCCGTTCCCGTAAGACGGGACTGCACGGACGAGCGGGCGAGAGAGATGTGCGTGTACAGCACATACATGTATAACGTACACGGAAAAAATATTACAATAATAATAATTATATTACTACGAGTTTGGTTAGCGCGTGTGCGTCTTCCGAACGCGTACAGAATGATGTATGTACATAATAATGGGTACGTTTAGGCCGGAGGCGTTGTAGTTTCCGGTGAACCCTTTTTTTTTATTTTTTCATCTTTTATTATTATTATTGTGCGCGCGCGCGCGTGTGTGTACACCTGAAGAGCGCACACAGGTCGGGGTGCCCATTAATGAAAACGACCGGGGACGCGTTCACGGCGTACGCGGCCGATCGCGTCCAACGTTCCGCCGCTGCGGAACCGCGCGGCACCGGGTCGAACGCGTCCCGCCAACCGGTTTCCCGCAGCCGCACCATGAATGAACCGCGGCGGCGGCGGCGCGGACAATCTCACGGCGGCGGCTGCGTCGACGACGACTGCGACGCGCGATCGGACACCGAGGAGCACTGTGCAAGCCGCCATTCATCGTTCGCGACGCGTACGGTCCAGACACAGTCAGTCTACGTCACCGAACGGTCTCCTGCTCGCGCGTAACGTTTGTTGTACCCGTTATTGTTGTACGCGGTGATCGATATTTCCGACGTAACGATTTCGCGCCGTTCTTTCGACAACCTTGCACGCGTCGACCGAGAAGGAGTTTTCCGCGGTACCTACCCGTTCGCCAACAGGTACCCACGTCTCTGAACGTTCCGAGATAGGAGACAGTTGAATTAAACAAAAACCGCTTCGTAATGAGCCTGTGCGTGATGTTCTCGGGGTACGAGCAACACGGCAACCATCGGGACGGCCGCAACAACAAGGCGGACAGGAGCAGACACCTGTGGCAACCGTGGGTGGAGAGGGCCGGTAACGTTGACGGTGAGAAAATGTTTTACGAAAGGGTGGTGGTTGATACGTTCCCGCGAAAGGGTTACGACCTAGGGTTTAAGAACACTCGCGTTTCCGTCCGTCGTCGTCTTAGTCGCCACCGATGATAAATCACACACGCGCTGCGTACACTTGCGATCTACTCCGCTGTTTCGTTCGACAGAATTCACGTGCGTGTACGCTTTGGACAGATAATCTCGTTGCGCAACGCTGTATATTATAACGTTCTCGAAAATAATAATTGATGGCCTTAAGTAAAAGCTGTTTTGTTCGTAGGATTTGTATGCGTTCGCACTGATTTTTATGCGTGCGTGCGCGGTTTTCTTTCATACCACGAGGCTGTCACTGAATGTGTCTCAAATGTTATTATTTTTGTACACAATTGGAATACATTATATTATTCTTGTACCGAACGGCGATATTATTTTTATGTCGAAATCGCAATATTTTTTTTTACATAACGTTTCGGCGAGAACAATAATATAGTTTTAAAATGACCGGTTGACGATTATTAATTTTCATTGACCGAAAATTCAATTTCTGACCCTATTGAATATTTATACCCGTACAAAAACTGGATAGTTAATGCAACGATGTATTTGTACCTTTATTAAACGCATTAGTATATATGAACGTAGTAATATAGTTCAATTATAGTCACTAAACGAAATCGTATACATCAAAATGTTGTCCTAGTTTTATTTTTTATTTTTATATGACAAGTGAAAATATGAATATCAAAATCTCATAAGTTAGGCGCTGTCGTTAAAAATCGAATTGTCATAGTTTAGGGCAGGAATAATTATTCGCAATGAATTCATTCGAAAACAAAAAACGTGTAAATTAGCATAACACAAATGAATATTGAACGTTTTTAATTTTACATTTTGACAGTAATCGTGAGCGTAGTGTGTACATAATTCAATTTATATAAAAATAAACTCGTTATATACAATAATTATACGCTTTAATGTGCTTACTTAGACGTTTAAGTCTTCGCTGTACTTAATGCAATTAAATGTTTTGCTATACTTCAACACTGACTTATTTTTAAAGAATTAAAGGCATTCCGTGTATAAAATGTCGATACCGTTTGAAATCTAAAAATCTGTTTAAGTATACAAACGATTTTCGATGAGTGTTTATATTCTTCGAGTTTAATATATTATTATATACATTGAACTGTTAAAGGATATCTTTGGGAAGATATAGACGTCGATGATTCCGTTGTGCAGGTAATACACAAAATTAATTCTCGTCGTCTTCCTCATCCTTGGGATATAATCAGTATAGTCGTTTCTACTTGACTGCTTACTGTCAAGATAATATGTTGTAACAAGTTTTTATTCAGCTTAACAAATCCATCGAAATTATAATTGTTCGGTTCTTATACATTCATATAATCTGGCTGCTAAAGCAGTTATAAATTAAAAAAAAAAAACTGATAAAAATAATTTGCATTTTGCAATAAGTACTCTTTTAATAGTCTTAATAGCGTATTCCTTTGAAATGCTATTGCGTAAGTGCGTTATTTTAATGTAAAAATGTCTTTTTAATGTAACGTTTCGTTGTCAATCAACGATTGATATTTTTATGCTTGTAGAATTCGTATTTTTAATTGATTTTTAGTGAGTATTTATTATTATACAAACCCGTAAGATTTTTACCGACGTTCATGATTCAAAGTGATCGATAATGCTAATTTAACTCTATAAAGAAACGTTCAAAAACAATTAAACTAGTCGACGATAAACTGTAATAAAATACATCATTTCGTTCATACGTAGGTATATGAATCGTATTGCTTTTATATTAGTAATAAATGAAAAATAAATTGAATTGAGCGTTGTGCAAAAAGGCGCGCGAACCGACGAGAGCTTATATTATAATTTATAAAAGCTAATTCATTTTCATCATTCGTTCGTCGCATGCCAATTTCATTTTTTACACACTTCCATATCGTTATTATTTAACAACATGATTTCAACGAATTATTGATGCAACAGATAATCAGCTACAATCCACATGTCTAATAAATGTTTTTCAATTACGATAATCGTTTTTAATTACTCGTATTCGATTTCAAAGAAACGGTATTTTAGTATTACGCGATATAAATACGACCAGTATACACATTATGTACTGTACATTATATTATAAACGTTGAGGACAAATTACCAATCGTACTTTTTTTTTTTTTTGGTAATCGGCTAATATAATCATTTATGCGCATAAATACGCGGGGAGAGGAGAGTGCAGCGTGCGTCTCGCATATTGTGTAATGTATAATCATCATCATCATGACCGCCACACCAAGTCTGAGGAAAAAGTCCGTTTAGATTTAACGAGTTCGTGCGACTCGTCCGAAACCACCACCACGCCTCCTACGCACTATACCACGTTCGAATGACTCAATACGACGACGACGACGACGACGTACGATATTATTATAATATTTTTAATGTAAATCACGAACAGGAAACGTGCACTTTGTTCGTATGCCATCGACGTCCTTCCGTTCTCCTGGCGCACGCGGTCCGGATGGGAAAACGGATATAATACTTGTTATAGGGTATACATGTACGACGTCGCATGTATATTGTATTTTATACTCGCACACGCACACGACGCTTGTGTGTGCTTACGGTAGAAAGAAAGAAATCTATAAATTACTGACAATCCGTCTATAAGTCGTTCCCGAAGTCGTTGTAAACGCGTGTGACGTGGTGGAGGTGTGTTGTGTATGCATAATATATACATATTATGTGTCTGCTGTAAGGTTTCGTATCAGATTTCTCGGGCGAGAATGTAAATGGGAATACTACCGGGGATTTGAATATTGTTATAAAACATCGCGTTATGCGACGATGGGGAATTTCCGGAATGGTAGGAATTCAGAAATCCGCTACAGCAGCGTGGAGATATGTTTTTGAGATAGGTACGCCACAAGTCGTATTATTATTATTATTATTATTATTACGAGGCATACCTTTTGGATATTTAACAGAATATATTTAGAACCGGTTGGATTAAAAACGCATAAATTGTGTGCAACGCGTGTCCGCGCGCACACGAAATACGATGGAATTGTGTTTGTTAATTTTTATTATAAACATCGTCTTTCGTTTTTTGTGTAGATCGTTCGAGGTCGTTGTCGTTGAGATGTTCGGCGATGGAAGGAACCGTCGGCACCGTCGGCAAATGGAAGAGAGAGAGGAGACACAGAGCCGTCTGCACGTCACCGGTATCGTCGCCAACGCTGCCGCCGAAGTAAGTACTTACGGGGAAATCGTATGTGCCCCGAAAACACGATTTCGAACGAACCCGCAGTGGTCAATTTTTCTTGTGCTCCCTGTCGACCACGAATACCAATAAATCGCGTACGAAATATTCATGTGCGATGTCTATTATCGTGTAGGTCCATTGCAAACATTTTTCCCTCGTGGCTCTTCGGCTTAATTCATACTCGGAAACACCTACTTGTACACAGTTAAAAAAGAAAATTGTATTTTTTACATTTCTCGATTATAATGGTGTAATTGTAATCAACTGTTCTATGCGTCTATGTTCAATGTACGCTTGTAAATTATTTAATCGTTTAAATCCAAAAAAATAAACAGCCATCGGGATGATCTACGCGTGCATCATAGGCGCAAATCGTTTTATAAATATTTTGTCCAAGCAAAAAGTAGGTCGTTTTTTCTTCCGTTTTAACGTCAATATGTGTTTGTATGTTGTATAACCGCTAGAATTTGAATAATAGAAAGATAAAAAATTATTACCAACGGAGGTGCTTACACTTAAGGGGCATAATAAAGGAACACATCAATGGACGATTAACAATGACGTTGGTTAAACAATGTAATGCCGATAATCGAAAAAAAAATATGAGGCTCGCTCAATGCCATTTTATTAAAACGATCTCATATTCGCCACGAGTAAACTTAACATGAAAATGAAAAAAAAATAATATCGATATGCAGTCGTATTTAGTAATTTGCCACCCTGGGACAATAGAAAAAAAAAACACCTCATTCCATCAAATAAAAAATATTAAATTCTGAAAACATAAAAAGATCACTTGCCCTCTTGTAATCGAACACCTGGGGCAACAGCAGCCTATTGTCCCCCATAAATATGGCCTTTCCGATATGCGAGATTAATTCTAATACAGACTTTTGCCAGCGGTGTTCAATTTTTCTCCCTCCGAATTTTGAATCGATCGAGCAACACAAGATCGAATTTTTCAACATCGATTCATTTTTGTAAAGATCTATTTGAATCAATTGTTAATCCTTTAATTTATGTGAATCGATTCATTCAGGGTCGGCGGAAATAACGTGCTATGTAACATATTTTCGGATTTCATTTTCTTCGCGGAGTAACGCGAAAATATTTTATAAAAATAACTAGAAAATTTCATAAATATGAACACGATAAAATTTTAATTTTGTTACACCGTTAAGAATGTGCAAATAATGTTTATAAGAAATTATAATACACAGCTACTACATTCTTTGTTTTTATTTATTACTGTAGAATTTACGAATTGCTAGATAGCACATTATTCCTGCCGACCATTCGATGATCCAATTTCTAATCTTTTCACAGTGCTGACATTACCATTTGTTCTTACCGCGAGCTTTTCATTCTGATTTAAATCGATTAGTTTTCAAGAATCGCTTATCGCTAAAAGTTACTACACATTTTATATTTACATCTACTTTTCATCCGGATCACAGGAAAATCTGCAAAGAGTGTTATCTATTGATAAAAAAAAAAAATAAAAACCGCATACTAAGTGAATCGATCTGTTACCTCCGATCTTTTCATTTTTGATTTAAATTTATTCAAAAGATCGATTCACTTTCAAGAATCGTCCATCACTAGGTTAGGCTCGAAAACATTTATACTTCTGTACTACAGAAGTAAAAATGTTTTCGGGGACCGCCGTACGCCTCTGGACTTGGTAACAGTCGCCGCGATCGACGTCGTTAGGCTGTCCTAATTATGTACACGGGGTCGATAGGCTTGACGTAATCTGACGGTACGGTAATGATTTCAGCTTCAGAAGCTCTCAGGAACCGTTGGACATGACGACGACTGCCAGTAACTCCGCTTCCAGGACCCTGCCCAAGGAACGCGCATCCGTCATCATGGCATCGCCGGCCACTGGCCACAGGGCAGCGACATCGACGACTGGCGGCATGAGCGATCCCGTTATCGACGAACACTTCAGGCGATCGCTGGGCAAGGACTACATGAACGTGTTCGCGCCGGCCACTGCGCAACGGCAACAACAGCAGACTACTGCCGCCTCAACCTCCGGACCATCACCGACCGACGGTGACAATTCCGGATTATCGGGTAACACTTGTGCAAATATTTTTTGAACTTACCATTGCGGGTACCCGTATATACTTGGCGGTGAGGGGGGGGGAGGAGAAAGAGTAAACAAGCAAATGTTTTTATTTCGACCTGAATCACTTCTTTCGACACTTGTTCTCGAACGGAGCAATCCATTTAGAGGGTCATGTTCTCTGATATTAATGACGTAATATTTGGGTTTTATAATCATCTAGGCGTAATTGTAATAAATTGAAATCTTTTAATCAAAAATAAACAATTGCTATAGGATTAGAATACAAATATCAAACCAACTTTCTATAGTTTAAAAGTTAGTCTGGTTGTGGAGCAAATGCACGTTAATCGTGAAATTTGAAAAAAATCGTTTTGATAGTGGCATTGAGCTCATAAACAAGCATATTCGGGCCAAATATAAATTAAACTGTTCGCGAGAGGCCTTGGTTAGCCAGGTTGCCGTTCGATCGATTGTGTATTTATATACCATTATATTAAATAGACAAATGATGTGAATTGTAAGTCTGGCCTTGATCTCGGCCCCGAACGCCCAACTCCACTGTTCGATTTGAAAAAAAAATCGTCTATAACATAATACGGATTCCTAGCCTTAGCTAAGCGTTTAAGATTCATCAGGGCCCGTTTTATAAAAAATTGAGGGTCACGTCGCTATTCACTTTAGGAGTCGTGACCCTGTGCCCTTGTGTATCTTAGACATTTACACAGATCGGAGCCTGGCGGCTGATCGCACTAGTGGCGGTGACGAACTTAAATACACCGATGAAACACAATAATTTTTACTGTCGGACACAAAAAAAAAAATTTTTTTTTTGAAGAAAATATATTTATTTATTTAAACAACTATATTTTTTTTTTTAACACATCTTTCAAATTGTGATATTGCCTCTTCAAAGTCCTTTCACGGCTCAAAAACATTTGATACCCACCACATTTTAAATTGAGGCAAATGCTTTAAATAAAGTCTTTCATCACGCCACTGAGTCGCACAACTCTGTAATGTACACATTCCTACTATGTACAAAGTCTGAAGATAGAAAAGTGTTGTTGCTGGCTTTTTTTCAGTTTGTTGTAAGGAAAAAATAATAATAATCAAGGTAGGCAATACAATGATAATGATGAGTATCAAGTTTAGAGACTGTTTACGTAGCGCGGGACGCAGGTTAGCCAGAGGTGGGTTTACCCGTCCGGTCTCTGAAAGAATTTTAACAGTAAATGCTTGTACATCGCACTGTAATGATACTAAGTGGTTCCTAAAGGAACTAGATTTGAAATGATTTATTTAATTTTTGATTTTCCAGCAGTGGACGATCATTTCGCCAAGGCTTTGGGCGACACGTGGGTAAAACTGCAAAAAGAAGAATATCAGAAAAAAAGGAAAGAAACGACATCAGACGGCGCCAGGCAAAATGTGAACGTATACGTGGCGTAAGGAAGACGACGAGTCAACAGGGGAAACAAAATATGAGGCATAATTTTAGGAAATTTGTGGTATACAAATGTATTACGTATATGCGGCAGGTGCAGAGGATCGTGCGCCGCCCGCCTTCGGCGTTGATTTTCGGGTGGCACCTCGGGACTATGGGGGAAAAAACTGCGTAGACTATTATTTTATGTATATGTATTCTTTGTACACTTTAAACTTTGTAAATAAAAACAAGTATTTAAGCGAAACTTCGGTAGTTGTTTATTAATATTTGATTCTCTTAAGTAAATATTTTAAACTGTATGTATAAAATTAAAAAAAAAAAACACAACTTCGTTGTAGTATTTGATATCTTTAAGCCCCAATAAAATGTCGATCAAGAAAACTGTAGATAATAATAAAATACTTAAAAATAAAATAAATTACTTTTTGCTCACAAAAAAAAAAAAAATAATAATAATAATAATAATAATAATAAAATAAAAAAAATAATTGTAAAATGTAATAACGTATGTCCATGCTGAAGTGGTACTATAATCTACAGCGCACCGTGTTGTAAGGCCGACTGCCGATACAACAATGTAATTGATGTTATTAATTAATTAGAGGTTATTATTGAATAATAATTCTAATGAATCGGTTGACAATCTTAACTTAAATGAATAGATAATAATCATAATATAAAATATTTCGAGTTATCACGAGTTACAAATTTAAAAACGCATCACTTGGGAATTAACAGCCGGGAGTCAATCAGCGGCTGGTACGCTAAGTCTCCCGCGCTGTTGTATAGATCCACGTCAACGGTCTCGTCGCCGTCGGCCGAATCGCCCTGCGGACAGAACAAGTTTTTCAATACCATGTTGCAACGGGTTAGTTCAGAGGTTCCCAACCTTTTTTGACTCACGGCACCCTTTATTATTTTCTATAAATTTGGAGGCACCCTATAGCCTATGCCCTATACTCTACAGTTAATACTGAATACGCAATACTAATGTATCGTATATTTAAATTTATATTTTGTAACTTCGGTTTTATTTAGCATTAATAAACAATAAAGATAAGATTTATTCACAAGTATTTCACCGTAAATAACTTTAAAACAGTTCACATCAAATCGATAGCAATCGAACCAGTATGAAAATTAAAATTATATGTATTAATAATTAATTCATTGAATTATATTGTATATACCTAATTAATTATACACAATAGGTTTTATTCTATGGACATAGAGTATAGTCTGTTTTATTACTCACAGTGCTATATTTTTCACGAAGACGTTTAAAAATAAATAAATATTTCAAATATTTTTGCGGCACCCTAAATTTTATCTCGTGGTACTCTGGGGTGCCACGGCATCCTGGCTGGGAACCTCTGGGTTAGGTAAATGACAAGAATATGAAAAATATGTTTATCGCAATAGTTATTTATATTAAAACACGTACGATCCAGACGATTTTCAATTTGATGTCTCTCAACAACTTGGTCATTTTTTCTACCACGTCTCTGGCATCGGCGTCATCGCTCATCGTCACTTTGGCCAGTCGACAATCGATTGAGAACATTGGCAATGCGAAAAACTCGGCTGGGCAACGTCTAACGCTATGGACACGAGAAAAAAAAATCGTTGAACGGATATACGTGTACGTATGTTTATGTTTACTTTCGTACAACTCACTTGTTTTTAACCAGTTTAATGGATACGCCAAAATCGACTAAATGTACAAACTTCCCGTTATCGCTAATGATGCCCCGTTTCCACAAAAAGTTGTGGAAAATAACGACTGCCAAGCCTGGAATAATAATAATAATACAATTTTTTTTTTTAAAATAATAATTAATACGTGTTATTCCAGAGTCTTTCGCAATAGAGGAATAGCTTATTTAGACAATATTTAAGAGGGAGGATGGGGAGATTCGCTTCGGGCGAATACATTTTAATCCATTTTTGGGGTGGGGAGGGGGCGACGAGGCACTACTGTAGCCCGGTATAATATCGTATTAATTAATATAAACAAGACATTTTTAGTAATAATACTAACATTTTGATAAAAATTAAAAATTCTTAATAGAATGCGCAATCAACTAATTAAGGCTAAATAAATAATTAATAATTTTTTTTATACATTTTTTAAGAATAAATAACTTTAAAAATGTAGAAAAAAATAAATAAATAAATGCTATTTTTTTTTGTCGAGGGAGGGGCATACGAATATGGTCGACCCAAGGTCCAATATTTGTAAGCTCTGGTTCGCCGTTTTCGAAACCATCTCACTTTGTTATTATTATCAACGTACCTGGCGCAATGTTGTCGAGCACCGGCAGTTTGGGACATTTATCGAGCATAGTGGTTTGCATACTGTGCTTGGACACGGTGATGTCGATGCCATCTATTCGCTCGATCGTCAACGTCACGCGGATGGGCGAGATGACCCGGGATAACTTGCCCTCGACCACCTCGTTGGAATTCAAACAGAACCTCAAGTAATCGGATGATTCCTCCGCGTCGCTTCCCTCGTCAGCGGTGCTTCTCTCGTCGTCGCCGTACTCGCCTTTTCCCGTGGCGCTGGACACCGCGCTGCTGCAACGGCTACCCGGGCCAACGACGGCCGACGCCACCGTGTCCCGTTGTTCTTGGTCGACGGAGGCTTTGTTTACGACGGCTTGATAATGAGCGGAGCGGATGTCCGGTCCGACCGCGCCCTCGGTATCCTTTTTGGCCGCGCCATCGGTATCCTTTCCGGCCATGCCATCGGTATCCTTTTCGGCCGTGACCTCGGTCTCCTTTTCGGTCATGTGATCGTCCACACCGATGCACTCGATCAGGTTCATGTCCGACGCGTAACAGAAGTACGCTGATTTGTTCGTGACCAGCAGCTGACAGATATCCTGGGGTGGTTTTCCCATTATAATTTTGCTGATCTGCACAACAAGGTACGGTGAAATCATATAACAATCATCGTTTGGTCAGCACCCAAAATACCGAGCGAATGTTTTCGAAAGTCGAAACGAGACTTGATCGTTCAAATTTCGATCTGCGAACGAGACTTATATCACCGTCCGTCGAATTGCAAACGTCTTATTTAACCGTCATCATTTAAATATAATGAGAGTGCATCAAGGCCGTATCTAGAAATTTTTTTCGGGAGGGGTCAAAAACATGTATATTGTAATTTTACTGAATTTAGTTTTTAACTTTTGATATTTGGTTAAAAATAAGACAGAAAAAAATTTAATCTTCTTTTATTAAAATTAATACCATATTTTTATATGATATGTTATAAAACTAAAAGCAGTCAATGGTTAATTGGAGTTTAAGTCATTTTTGACTGAAAATATTTATATTGGTATTAAAAAGATAATTATTTTAAACATTTGTAAAATATCGAAGAAATTTTGGGGGGGGGGAGGAGTCCAAACACCTTGCCCCCCCCCCAGATACGGCCTTGAAGTGCATAGATCGAAATGGATGATTGAAAAATATGGTCATAAGTTATCAGTAGAATTGGGCGAAAACAAATCAAAATTATGAATAAACAATAAAAACATGTATAATTGATCATTTTGTGAATAAAGAATAGTATTTTATTTTAAATAGTTTTAGTGGAGAATAAAAAATAAATAAAATAAATTGTGAATAATATTCACATTATAATAAAGCCTAATGTGCGAATAAATACACGTCGACAGCGAATACTAAACCTGTTAGATTAGCCCATTATTTATAATATGTAATATAATTTATTCATTTTTTTAGGAACTTTTCGATTGCAGATAATATCTATATTTATATATATAAACCAAATAACACTCAATCACTGATCATCGGTAGATGATCAAAAAACGTCAAATCGAATGAATTTGCAATTTGATATTATGGTTCCACTAACACTCTAGATGCGCAATAAGGATTTTCCAAAATTCAATCCCTAAGAGGAGTAAATGGGATAAAAACGAAAAGTGTTAAAATTTAATATGAAAAAAATCGCCTAAATGGAAATGCTAAAGCTATGACTATGAAATTTGGTGAATGGTTTTGTTTTATAATGTAGAGATTAAAAAAAAAGGATTTTCCAAAATGAAATTCCTAAGGGCGTAAAAAGAAGTAAAAACAGAAAGTGGTTACATATGAAAAAAATTGCCTAGGCGAAAACTCTAAATCCGATTCATTTGAAATTTTGTTATATTTGTTTTATAACCAATAATTACATCATCATAGGCTTAAAATAGTGAAAATTAATAATCCATTAAAAACTATGTCCCGGCTAAGGCCTCTTTCACACAGTTCGTTTCTTTAACGGCAACGGAAACGGATCGGATAAAAAAAGAAAACGGAGAGATAAAAAACATAGTTATTTCTACTAGTTATTCACACTATCCGTTTCAATCAATGGACAACTCGACGGATTGCCTCGATATATTTTCGTTGTCGGAACGTTTTTAAGACAGACCGTTTATCAAGACTATAAAATAGATATAACATTTCACACTTTCCGATTTAGCGTCCGACAATTTTTATCCGGTACCCGTTTAAGTTTAATAAAGTTTAGTTTTTATTTTCATTCGATCTGTTTCCGTTGCCGTTAAAGAAACGGATTGTGTGAAAATATTGTTCATTTACTATTTTCATCCGATCCGATTCCGTTGCCGTTAAAAAAATGGACTGTGTGAAAGAGGCCTAAGACTTCCATAAGAAGCCGGGTTTTGTTAGTATATAATAAATTCGAAACACACCGATTTTAATTTTCAATAAAGTTAGAATTTAAATTATTCATAAATCATTTGAGATAAACAGTTATGTGGAATAATGAATGACGAACAATTTTTTTTTTTAAATAATTAATCGAATCATTTTTTTATTCAACTAATACCCAACTCTGGATACCAGTCTAAATATGTTACAGTCGTATACATTTCTACACGCTTGAAGAGAAGATAAATCATTCGCATTCGAAATATGATGCAATGGTTTTGATTATCTTATGGTGCGTTCACACATGTGTAACATGCAATTTGCGTTTTTGTAACATATTCTTTCTTGTAACGATTAGCGAACTTGTACACATTTGTGTAACAAACCGATGATTGGCTGATAGTCGGTAATTTAATGAAACATCAAAGGATGTTACACGAACATGTTGCGGCCTGTATGGACAGATTTGCGAACCTATTACTATTAACTAGGGTACGGATTTTAATGCCCTAAAAAACACCTTAAAATTTATTAGAAAAATGCAGTTATGACCTAAATTTTTTTTATTAATTATGTAAAAAATGTATTAAAAATGTGAAAAATGAGTACCAAAAATGCACTAAATTTTTTTTATTTTATTTTACCAATGCTTTCCACACACGTAGTTCGTATTATTATTATCGTCATCGACTATTATACCATAATTTAATGACAACGATAATATAAGACAATAAAGTGTAGCTGTCAATAAATTGATTATAGAAAAATATTGAATACTTGAAATTTTTATAATTTTTTCCAAAAATACTAAATTCTTAAGAAATATGAAGATAATTTTCTTAAAAATAGTAAAAATACCAACAATTAATTAATGAAGTAAATATAAAAAAAAATGCAAAATAAAAATTGAATTATATGAATTTAAATCACTTGAAACATATTTTTTCAAAACTGAGCATTACGTAAGGATTTAGAAAAAAAAATGCATTTTGCATTGAAATCCGCGCCCTACTAATAACTAACCTATTATTAATAATTTGTATTATTCCAACTGGCAGTTGACAATTGACAATGAAACGAGTTAGTATTTATTTTTTATTCAAATATTTCATTTCGAATATATAATGTTCCAGTATTCAAACGAAATGATTTTAAATTTATAGAAATTTACCATGATAAAGAAATATTATGGAATTCTTTGCATAAAAATAATTTTAATAGCATATTAAAAAAATTATGCTCGGGTTTCCATTGCTGATCAATTAATAGGTTTATCGAAAACGGTGTCACCTGACAAATGTCGTAAAAAAATGATTACTTTACTCTCTGCATATAGAAGAGAAAAAAGCATTAGTATAGGATGAGGTGTGTATTTGTATTTCAAAACGTCTAAGAGAATAGCTGCAGCTACCCGAGTAGACGTAAACATGTTGACTATACCCTCAATTTCAGAGAGTCAAGAGACTAATTTTTTTGTATGGAAACGACTAATTTATGACTTGTAACATGTTGCGTTAAGTGTGGAAAACAGTCGTCAGCAATAGCAAAATTAATCGGGTTCAACGTATTTTTATATTATCGTTGAACTTATGCACCATTATATCATATTATCGAACAAAACGCAGTACTCACAGCATATGAATTTGACGTAAACGACAAATCCAACGTTATCGTACACAATTGCTCAACAATCAAAGAATGTAGAAAATCGAGGGTGTCACGTTTCCATCGGTAATTTTTCGTCATCTATAAATAAAATATTTCAAACGTGTAATTATTTTTATAGCAATGAAATCTAAACGGTATAGAACATTTTTTTTGCATACCGGTAAAATAGAAGTGAAGAATCCTTTTAAACATAACTGAGGAATATCAGTCATGTACAAAGTTGATCGAAGATCTTCATGTGAACAAGTTTCGATATTACCATAATCTAAAAACTGAACAGTGAATTTTCCATTTTCTTCTACCTGGAATAATCGAAATAAAATTAACAATATTTTACCTTTAGAAATCAGAATAAATTAGTTAAATGGTTATTTTTAAAGGAGCGGATTACTTAAGTTCTTAAGTTTTATTTTTAAAGATTTTTTTTCTTACAACTCAAAAATCTAGTTTGGCTACCTTTCTTCAGATAAACTTTAAAATTTATATTAATTTAAAAGAAATACTATTGATGTAATTGCTTCACAACCAAATTGATAAGCAACATGACAATAAAAGTTTTAGATGAAAAACTAGTGTTTAAAAAAAAATCTATATATTGATAAGTATCATGAAAGTTTGTTAACACCTCCATCAAGCAAATTATAGATATTAAGGTAAGTTAAGTATGTTTAGATTTAAGACAAAGGTTAAAACTAGTTTATATAATTATATAGTGCAATCATTTGTTTCTCTTAATAAAAAAAAAAAATCATAAGTCTGCAAAAGTTTGAAAGTTTTTTTTACCAAACATTTTTTCTACAACAAAAAACAAATACTAACTTTTGTGATTGTTCCTCTGTACCACTGGTTATCAAGATGATACCTTACAATAACCATCTGTCCTTGTTTCCATTTGACGTTCATAGGTTCTGGTTGGGAATTAGAATATATAGAGTTTAATTCTTCTGAAACATTTCTTAATAATTGAGAAGTTTCTAGAATGTTAATATAGACAAAATTAAAACAAGTTTTATTTCTAATATTATGTTTTCATACCACTGTCACTTGAAAAAACTTGAAAATAAATATGGCAATCCATATCAATATACGTTACCCAGGCATTTAATCGAGATTGAGTAATAGGCAGAGGAGGAAGCCAACAATTTATGGTCGTGTCATAATTTGAAGACTCGAAAGTCTTGTTAAATTCCGATTCTGATTGGGAGGATAAGCATTCATCAACCTGTTGGAAAACATTTTAATACCAAGTTCTTTTCAGAAGTACATTATAAACTAAAAGATAGCATGAAAAATTGAATTTGACTGAATAAGAATTGAGTTAAAATTAAGGATTTAAGAAATGCAATATTCTGATTGTCTGTTGAAAAATAGCTATATTAATAAAGTAATTGAAAAAAAATTACAATCAAAGAATACATTGAATTTCTTATTATATAGTTTATAACTTAATTAAAAATAATGATATTAACATCTTAAATTAATAATTCATTGACAACATTGTGAACTCTAAATGAAATTATTTATCACTTTTTTTATATGTTTTTTTTCAAATCATTGCGAGCAATGTAAAGTAAAAAAAAATGTGTAAGTTCTATAACTAATAAAATAATAACAAAATAAAATGTTTTAACTTCTTGATTTAAAAAAAAAAACACAAAATAAATTAACTTAGTAAAAAAACTTGAAAAAAAAATTGTTTGAGACTTAACAATAAATTAAGAAGTACAAAACTTAATATTAAGAAAAAAAAAAAAAATGTTAATTTAATTAAATGCAATATTAATAAACTGCTGATTTTTTGAAATCAGCATTTATTAATATTTATTAATCTGCTAGAAAAATGTATCTAATTTTTTCTTAACTTTACTTGTTTCTTTGTGATTTTAATTTACTCACCTTTGTATATCTGAAAAATAAAATATAATAAATATTTGAATGCTTTGTAAAAGTAGAACAATTTCAGAATATCAATAATAATAAAATCAATTTTAATCACTAGACAAAGAATCTAAACAAATTAGAAATCCGCTTAAATATTATTATTCAGTTAAATCTTAAAGAGAAATAATAACAACATTTCTAACAACACGGAAATAAAATTTTAAATTTATTCTTCTTGAAAAACCACAATTAATGCTTTTAATTCTGCATGTTACAATACTATTAATAGTTTACTGACTGTACTAAATGGTAAGCATCACTCAGAAAAAAAACAATTTAAGGCTATAAGTGAAAAAATCTATAAATGTAGACAGAGGCGTATCCAATTTTTTTTGAATTTTATGTATTTTTATTATAATCAATAGACAATATACATATACTAAAAATTTTCCGGTGGGAGGGGGTATAACCCCCTAACCACTCCCTGGATACATCACTGAATGTAGATATGGTCTTTTTACATTACACCTTTAGATTTTTAGATATATGTATAGTAAATAAATAAAAATAAAAATATTACACTTGTAACTTTAATATTTACACCGCTAGTGTGTATATGTATATATAAATATTGAAGTCTTATATAATGGAGTATTAAAGTATTACGTCAGCAAACTAGGGAAGTTCAAGAAATCGGACAATATCTCCAATGGGTTGGAAGGCTGAATCTCAAATCTGATGTCAGCATCATATCTATCAAAAATTGAATTAACGAGCAAAAAAATAACCAAAGGTGATGAATTACCAACAGCATTGAAAATTTTATTATTCTTATTTTTATATTGATAATTGAATAAATTAATTTTATTAATTCGAATAAAAGAATTTAGGGGTTTATGAAAATGTTGACATAAAATAGGAGACTAGTAGTCATTTTCTGATAGATGTTGTCATGGGGGAGGGGATGTCAAAAATGCTAAAAATTGGGCTGACATAATACTTGAATGTTCTCTAAATGTTAGGTGTAGGAAAGCCAAATAGCTTAATAACTTAATAATCACTCATAGGAGTGATTGAAGACTCTACTATATGATGCCCAAACATATCATTTAAAAATAAAACAGAAATATATTTTGAAAATTAATATCTGGTCATAATATTGTAATGAATGTTTATAAAATTAAAATATGATAATATACTCAAATTAACTAAGGAAGTTATTGCTTTTACAAAATAATATGTTTAAACATTATATTATTTTTTATTCTAATTAAGTAGATTGTATTAATTTTATTTTTATTTTGCATACTTATTGATAGTATTATTATTTTAATTAAATGTAAATAACTTACTCTTTATTACTCATAGCAAAACCTTGTTCAATCATAAATGTGTTCATATTTATCCAACGTTCATGTACTGGTTTTAATGCTTCAGGCATTTTTATTTCTTTTACCCATATTTCTCCTAAAGCAACACTGTCTTTCTTTCCCTAAAAAAGTTAATAATAATAATATAAATGTTATGTTGATGTTATGTTGATACATACTGTTTTTGAAAAATATACAACAGAATATTTCTTTAACTCTTCAATTAAACGATCACAACTAAATTTAGGCCATTTACTATCTGAAACACCTAATGGAACTAATTTGTCCATACAGCAATATACAATACCAGATTTTGCATTAATTAAATTTGGTTCAAGTGTGTACAAAGAATTTAGTGGTATTCCATGATTTATTTGGTCCAAATCATAAAACAAAATCTATAATAAATAAAATTATATATTAATATAAGCACAGTTATAGTTAATACATTTTAAAACTTCTTTATTTTGTAACAAAATAATTTACATTCTTATTTTAACAAATATAAAATAAAAAAAAAATACCATCTGTTGTTTTTATATACTACTATATAATAGAATAATTTATTCATTAGTATAATAAAATACTTAATAAGTATTTCGTATATATATCAACAATATATTATTGTTATCAAGGGCACATTTTTCTTATATTTTCCTAAACATTTATTGTATGCTCTCAACTAATAATATTTAATTTTGATTTTCAATATTAATATGTATGAATGCCCACAAAGACTGAGACTCTTCTCTAGGCTTAAAGTAATATAATGAAAAGCATTTATCAACATGAAATAATTTTTATCAATATGAATGTATCAGCTGTAAGTTCCATCTGAGTTTCTACTTGTAAAAATTCTGGCATTTATATTATTATGTACACTACAAAAAACACTAGAAAAAAATGTAGCTCTGTTAAACAATTTATACTTATCAAATAATCTACAGTAACAATTGTTTATGACAATGTAAACAGAAATCAATATTTTTAGTAAATTAGCAAATTATATTAATATATAAATTACCTTATGAAAATTATGAAAAATAAAATTATAAATTTCACTGTTATTCTTATATAATAATATCAATAAAAGTATAAATTATTTATAAATAATGACAAAAATAAACTCACACTCGCAGTACCATTTTTTGTATCTATACTTAAAATTTTTCCTCTGTACCAATTACCAAATTTTTTTATATATACTGCACATAAATCATTTACTTGCCATTGTGTTTTTTGATTATTTTTTTTGAGTTTCTTAGAATTATACACATTATTCATCTGTCCAATTAATCTATAATCAGTTTAAAATAAATTAATTCAAAGTCTAAATATGCATCAGTTATTAGGCATTTAAAAGAACCAAAAAGAAAACAAATATTAAACAAATTTTTATAATTAATATGGTTGAATAAAAAATTAAAATCTAAAATAAATCATTAACTAAATTAATTTTAAATGTATTATTTATTATGTAAATAAATATAATTAAAAATCATGTATATGTACAAATATATTTATTGTTTTTCTCATAATTATATTTATACTTGTACTTTATATTCAAATACTTCTTATTTTTTATTTTTGTTGTTAGTTAATTGTATACGTTTAATTACATATATGTTACACATAAGTAATAGTGAATATAAAATAATTCAATAGTACAGCATACTTTGTTTTTGTCTGAATAATTAATCTGAACAAATATTGTTTTAAGTAATGTGTTTTATGCAGAATTCTGTAATAAACACTTGGTTTTATATGTGATATTCTTAATAGTTTTACATTCATGTCAACAATTCTTAAGAACTTCAAAAAAATTAAAACTTTTACAAAATATCTCTTTAATCACAAGATTGTATTAAATGAGTTTCATTTTATGTGAATACTAATTAATAATAATTTAAAAATTATCTTGTAATTTAAATATAAATCACATACAACATACAAATCAATTAAAATATTGAAAACTGTTGACAATATTCTAATATTTCTATATTGCTGATATTTATTCTTATGACTATATTACAAAACAATTTGTTTTTCATAATCAAATTATTTATAATGTTTGATAATTTCAAAAATGTCTGCAAAAAAAAGATTGTAAAATAGGCAACCAAACATTCATCACACCGATAATACATTTCATCATGTGCCGTGAATGTTTGGTAATCAATCTTATGGCTTTTGATTAGTATCTAGTGTCTACCCTATACTCTTTAGTATATTTAAGTATAAATTCAACATACATATACATATATATATCAATTATAATTATTCTTACTTGGTAGGATCATAATTAATACGTTTTAAAGTTATTTCATCAGGGCTGATAACTTTAACAATTGACATTTCAACACCAGGAACATCCTTATTAGCTTTAGTTTTAGGCCATGAATGACTTACATCTTCAACAATTGACCATGGCTTAACAAACGCCATAGTGTCTTCAGTTGAAAAAATCACAGGTTTCTATGCATTAACATATAATTTACAATAAGTGAATACTATTATTATATAATACTTCTGAAAAATAATATTACTCACATCTCTAGAGTTGCTATGTATAAGCTTAGGCTTACGTTTAAGGGGTGTTCTTACATTTTCTTTAACAAATGAATATGATCCAGGTTCTGACCGCATACCATGACCTTGAGCTATAAGTTTGCTATTTATACACACTTCACCTCTTGACGTATGATTATACAGAACCACTTTGTGTGAATCTTCATTAGCAAATAGAACCTTTGCAGTCAAGTTATCATTCATGGAATCATCATTTTTCATTAGATTAAAAAATGCAGCAGTTGCATCATCACTCCAATTGGTACATTCTATACCATTAAATGCAGGATAAACATCTGACAGTGATGCTTTTATTGCCTAAAATAAAATACAAAATATTTAAAAAAATTATTTAACACGTTCACCGCCCAAGACTTTTTTAACAATCTTAGGACAAACCCAAACCTAATATGATTCATTTCTAGTTCTAAGTACTTATACTTTTATAGTTTTGACCTTGAAAATTCGTTTTTCCATTTCTTCCTGTTTTTTAAGGCTTGTCACATATTTGTGACATGGGTTTATATGAACAATTATTATTACACAAGACCCAATGTCACACATAGTTGACATTGGATATTTTATTCTTTTCATGTTCAAAAGTGTTAATATACCAAGTTTATATTTATTTATATTAATTGGAATAATATAAAAAGATACATCAGGATTAGAATAAATAAACAAATTGTTATAGAATTTAAAAAATAATAATAAAGTTTCATTACTAGGGCTAGGATAGTATAGGATTTTGCATTTTTTTTTAGGATTTACAGGACATAGCTTTTCAAGCACAAAATGTGATTTGGTCATATACGAATCCAAATATATAGTTTTTATTTTGCTTTTTTTTGCATTTTTTGCACTTTTATGGATTTAGAGTCATTTTGTAGCATTTTTAGGTCATTTTTTCAATTTTACGGGCATTTTTATACTTTTTTTAAATCTTGGTAATATTTTTATACATTTTCATTTACACTAGATGTTCTCGATAAAAGTTTTGAATTTGTAACAGAAATAATTATATAAATATTTCAATTATAGAGATAGTGTGTTAGTACTCGTTATCGATAATAAAACCACTTATATATTACAACAATAAACTTTGATACCACGAGTTATCTTACATGTAAAATTAGATGATAGTTTTGTGGAGTGTACCTACGTATGGTTTTGTTAAATATCTATTTAGTTAGTGTCTTTACTCTCGGGATTGCGTATATATTTTTTATTTTATAGTATTTTTTGTTGTTTATTTCAGAAAATTTCAAGCTGGTCATTGCATGATAAGTCCAAACTTCAAACTTGAGTTTTTTTTATGCTATTTTCTTATAATATTATAATTTAAATAATTTTCTACCGAAATATTAATTAATAAATAATAATTAATAATTATAAATTATAATTTATAATGCATTTTTATAATACTTTAAAATCATTTTTTATCTTTTGGGCATTTTAAAGGTCATTTTTAGGTTATTTTAATGTCATTTTTTTAGGTTTTTTGGGTCATTAAAATCCTAGCCCTACTCATTACGATACTGAGACCAAGAAATTTTTTTAGTTCGTCAACATCAATATCATGCCACCTATTAAGATTTGAATATCGGCTATGTCCTTATTAATCACACTGTTTGCTCTTAGATTTATCCATGTAACAATATTTTTAAATAGTTCGTCGTCAAAAAATAGATTAAAATAACTGAAAGGTTCGGAATTTGGTACATTACACCGTAAGCCAGGAATACCGGTGAAATCAACAAATTCGGGTTCTGTATTTATATCAAAATTCCATTCAGAATTTTCAAAATCAATACCATTTTCCACAGAATTACCGTCAGAGTGTTCACTTTCAGATTCATTACCTGGTGGCAGATACTCTTCAGAACTACTATAATCATCCTCGTCAATGTCTGAATCAGAATTGTAATTTAATATTTCATTGATTTGTTCAGGATCCATGTTTTAACGTTTTTTTATTCGCAAACGATAATATAAAGTTATTAGAAAAATATAGTATCACCTTAATAACGATTTTCACGTGTTTGGAACAGTAATACCAAGTGAAAAAATAAATATAATAAGCAATGTAGAGAGAAAAAGATTATAAGATTATCACGTAACATTAATTTCGATTATCTCATGATCTCGTGACACTAACAAAAAACCACGTACACCGTTAGATGGCGTAGGTAGCGCTTAAAAAAACCAACATGCTGTGATATTTGTATGAAGAAACCCAAGCCCACGATAAATTATTGAAAATCATATACCGAATGTCACATATGTATGACATGGGTTTTTTTAAAGAGACCCCATGTCACACATATGTGACACTGGGCGGCGAACGTGTTAACTAACTAATTACATTTTAAAATAATACAGAATACACTATAAATAAAGAATTGGTTTTAAAATTCAAAATTTATTCTCAAATAAATTAATTAAAGACCTAAACAAGATGTAAAATTTATTATTAATTTTTTATTAATTAAACCTTTCAGACGATGTCAATTTTGATTAATGTGTTGCTTGATGTTATTCTACATCTGTAGATATGATTTTGGTCATTATTTTATTCCGTAGATTGTTCGCTGATAAAGGTTTTGTTTAATGGAGTTTGGATTTTAAAAATGCTCATTAAAATAAATCAAAAGCTATAACAAGTTGATCATAGGATAGGGGGGCTAACCAAAATCACTGAGAAAATAATTGATCGTCAAAAACTTTATGAGGTCATAGATTAACGAGTAGAATTGTTTAATACTTTTATTAATTCTTATTACATATTACAAAAGACCAGGAGCTTTTTTGTCAACAACAGGAACAAGTAAATTCAAAATTATTCACTCAAAAAATAATTCTAAAAATAATTCAATAAAATAATGTTGTGCAATAACCACTGAGAAAATGTGATATTCTACATTCAAACTTACAACTATTTATTGTCGACAATAAGCACTCTAAAACTCCCTAAAAAATTAACTTTAGGATTAATTCTGCTATTTATGATATACTAAATAATATCTACTACTATAATTAGTGAATTTTAAGATACATACACATATAAAGTAACTAAATCTATACATTTTCCCAAACAAAATAACTAACAGTTAATAATTAATAGTTTTATTTAATTTTATTTAAAAACCATTATTATCAATCATTAGGAAAATAATTTAATGCAAATCATATTTTCCTGAATGTTCTAAAATATTTCTCCCTAAAGACGAATATTGTTTCATGCATTATAGAAAAAACAAAACTTTAATTTTGTTTTTTCTTGATTTTTAGAGTTCTTTTAAATTTTTTGAGTGTATTTGTATCCACAATTGAAAATCGGATGTAATTTGTGACTGAACATTTTGGATTTAAGTGACCTGTTGATCAATTTAAGGGTTGTAAGAAAAAAAATGTGTAACAATTACTTACTAATGGTGGTGTTTTAATAAGACTTTGATCAAGCACTCTTAACTGATCCCATGGTAATGTTTCTGAGTTACCATAATCTATATAGTTAATAGTAACCATGCGAGATTCTGGTAAACTTATTATTTTTGCTCGATACCAAGTATTATCAATAGAATATTGAGCTGCAACTGCCATTCCTAAAATTAACATAAATTTAAATTATAATAATCACAAATAAGTAATATATTAAAGAAATAAAAGAATACCAATTTGTGGTGTGTACAATAAATAGCTCTTATTTGAATCATATTCAGTAGGTTTGTATATGGTTTCTAACTTTTTCATAATTTCTATTAGTAACTCATCATCTTCACTCTGTGACAAAAAATAATAATAATAAATGTATTTACTTTATTATACAGCTATGAGTATATATATAATTACTGTTCGGAAATAAAATTCATTTGGTGAATATAAATGACATAAAATAATTGAATATACTTCTCCTTCTTTTAATATTTTATTACTAGGCAATTTAATTGTGCTCAAAAGTTTTTCTCTCTAAAAATATTTAATTTTTTATTAAATTGGAAAAACTAAAGAATAAAAAGTCAAATACTCACTAATGCTATTGTCATATAATTTTCAGTTGTACCATATCCCAAATACAACATAGCATCTCGTATGGACATTGGATGAATACCATTACAAATAACATCTACCTCAATTCGTTCACCATTTGTTTCTATAGGATAAATAAAAAATGAATTGGTCTTCTCTTGGGTTATTAAATCACGGAATAATTGATATGCGTCATTTGACCATCCAGTTGTTGCCTTTGGTTTTAGGTCATATAAGGCACAGTTATAGGCTAATGGAGGAATTGAGACAACAGATTCTGGCACCTTTCTTATTCTGTAAATTAAAAATTATAAAACATTTATTAACAATTTTTTATTAAAATTTTTTTTAAAAATAAAGGTACATAGACATTTTTAGACCCTGTTTGACAAAGTAAATAATGAGTTATAAAGTTTTTGTGATCACGGATATTTTTCATACATATTATAGTATAAACATTTTCAGAAATAATGAAACATGAAAATGTTATTTTTGATTATTTATATATTTATTTAAAATCGAGACAATATTAAGTTAAAATTAATTGGGACAAAGCAATGTCAACCCTTTCATTAATTTATATCTACTTAATAATAATACATTTAATATTTAAGAAAGTGAATATATTAAAATATAATTTACTTTAATAATTTTAAATAATAATAATATTTTTTCCCATAAAATAAATTCATTAAATATTCAAAACAACTTTATTGGTTTTCATATTATCGTATTTATCCAATATAGGGTTGCCATAAATTTATAAGGCTAAACCGGGACAAAACAAACAAATTATTGAGTAATATACTTTTTATATATATTTTAATATACTGAGAGGACCAGTGGAGATACAAAGAGGGAATGTGGGAGTCAGTTCCCCCTAGGAATTTTTTTAAATGATATAAAATAATGTTCTTAGTGTGAGAGCGTTAGAAACATAAAAAAAAATAATAATAAAATAAAAATTATGATTTGTTTGCAAATCACCCCCCCCCCCCCATACAAAACTTATGTATACGTCTCTGAAGAAGACCATTAATGGCCGGCAATATATTTAAAAATATTTTTGTAAAATAAAATATATTATATGTGTAAATTACAAATTATGTCTTTATTATATATCGTTAATCGATTATGATTAAAAATACACTTTGAGATAAACTGGTCGAAATTAAAAATTAAACAACACTACATTTCCTCTAGATGTCTAAGGCGGGACATATGGACGTCCCGAAAACATTTTCCGGGACACCAAGACACGAAGTCCAAAACCAGTGGCAATCCGGTTTTCCGGGACGTATGACTACCCTAATCCAATAACCAACAATGAAGGCATGATTTAGATTACCAGAAATTAGACCGAATCTGTAGGATTAATATCCAAGCAGGAAATCGGCTGCTTGAAAAAAGAGAAGATTTTAAATACTTAGGTACCTAAATTAACCAAGGCGACTAGATCATGAAAATAAGATCCAGAATTACATCACAGGCAGTCAGCTTTCATGAATAAGAAAACATTTTATGCTCCAATAGTATGATTATTCCGGTGAGGAAACGCTTCATAAAATTATATGTATGAAATTTAGTGCTATACGGCTGCGAAACCTAGATTCTTAATAAGGGACTAAAACAAATCCTCAAAAGCTTTGAAATGTGGTGTTGGAGAATAATGCTGCGAGTAAGTTGGATACAACTTACGAAAGCATAATTTGTGAAATAAATGAACGCATATAATGAATGAACTCAAAATCATAAAAAATGATGGAACATAATTGGTCGCAGATTGAGGCAGGTCCGTAGCCAGACCAAATTTTCAGGAGGGGCAAAGCAAATTTTTGGGGGGGCATTATATATAAATGTATTAAATATTAATGCAATTTTTAATTTATTTACATTGACATCTAATTAAATTAACACAATGAATTACAAAATAAATTAACAATGAAACATATTTTACACACGTGTACTGCTGCAGTCGGCGATAAAATGAAAGAATATTTAGGTGTTCTATAATAAAATGTCAATTGATAGGAAAGTATTGAGCTACGATTACGATAACGTTAGCAATCAATTTGCCAACAGTCGTCGTGACACGTCAGTATCGTCGTCATGGCCCGGAATTTCCGAAATAAATACTACTATACGGCTAAAAAAACTTTTTTGATCTATTCTATTACCGATGAAAATGTTATAAGCAATAAAATACGTAACTACCTAAACATCTTTCTAATATTTTTAGGGGGGGCAATGACTGGGTATAGGGGGGGCAACGCCCCCCTTGCCCCCCCGTGGCTACGGGCCTGGATTGAGGCACAAAAACAAACTAGCTTAAAGAATAGAAGAGAAAATTGATGGTAAGAGAGACCAAGGACGTTCAATAACTTCATTATTTTAACAACTGATCTCCAATATTAGACTATCAAGCTATATGAAACTAAAGATCTTAACTGGAAACAGGGAAGAGTTGAGAGCACGTGTTCGAGATTGCGAAATCAACCATAGTGTTGGATACAAGAAGAGAACAGATTGTTATAGCCGATTTAATAATATATTACATAGTTTATATTGGCTGACTGATATTTGACCATTAAAATAAGACGTCGAGCGTCGCGGTCGGTGTCGTGACTGCAGTTCGTAGTAGTGATGGGCACTATCGATAGTGACGTAGTGATATGGGTGGGAGGGGGGCGAGGGAAGACAGCAAAATTTCAGAGTAAATAATAAAATATATTTTGTAAATATTTAAACCATTTCATATTTTTAACGCAACTATAAATTCGGACCGAATGAAAAGAGCACGGAATTTTTCATTATTTATTCTGTGACGAATTCGGAAATTCCCTTTCTTTCAGTGGCGGTCAAACGGAAGGGGGGATTAGGGGGATAGATCCCCCATGACCTTTTTTTAAATATTCATATTTCATCCATATTATACATAATATTTAGTAATATAATACCTATATTAATAGGTATTCATCCATTTTCAATTTGAAAAAATAAATATACTGTACTTATAAGTAATTATACAGTCTCTAGGCTGGAATAAAATTAACAGTTTAAACATAAAACACTAAAATATTAATTGAAAAAAACTTTTTAGGTTTTTTTCATTTCTTTTATAGTTAAATTATAAGAATATATGAAATTTAAATTTAGTACTGAATGCTTAACATAATATATTATATTATTATATGAATTGTGTAATTATATTATTTTAGAGTCGTCTCAATGGTTTAGCCACTATGGCTGTTCATCGTGGGGTTGTTAATATAACTGCAGACGAAGTACTGGACGAATTGGCCAAAAAAACCAAAAAAATAGATTTAATAATATAAATATCATTAATATAATTTAATTTTCATGTTTAAAAATAAAGATTTTTATGTATAGTGTTTGTTAAAAAATCAGTTACATCCCCCCTTCACGACAAAATTATTTGACCGCCACTATTTTCTTTGAATAATATTTTGTGTTTGGATTGTTTATGACTTATACTCAGTGAAAATGATTTCTATTAAACATATATTAAGTTCAATATTGTTTATTACGTCTCTTTAAGAAAGTGCGTGATGCTTTGACAATCCAAAGAAAGTTTTATTCGTGGATCTTCAGTTGTTTAGTTCACACTGTTTCGTAACTGTAATTTTTGTGCAAATAAGTACGTGTAGTGGTTATGAAATTATTGGATAACTTTGTGAAAATTTGAATTTTCCGCTACGTTTACCTGCACTCAACTGTGTGAGTATTAAATATTTTATTTATGTAATTGTATGTTGGACTGTCTGATATGTTGTTCAAGCTTTAATTTATTAAAATCTGGCCATGTACGAGTTTTATTCTCACATACCCAGAGTTCGGAACAAATATTTACGGTTTTTAGATTTTTGCCTATAGATAGATCTGGTGTAAAATATACCTAGTTTTTGAAATGTTCGATAGTTTCTTTTGTAACTCCAACTTTTATCATTACAATTTTTTTTTATTTTAGCATCAAAAATGAAAATAATAAAAGAAATCGGGGCGGGATAAGATAGTTATAGTAAGTATAAGTATCTATAAGTAGGTTCTATTACCTACTTAAAATTAGGGATCATCTCGACGATCGCATAATTAAATAATACCTTTGTACATAGGCGCAACTATGGTAAAATATCTGGAGGGGCTATAGCCATCCTATCAAAAATTAAAATAATCTGTAGATCATCCCTACTCTTATATACCATGTTAATACAGGTATTTTAGTTGGATTTACTCTTTTTGTATGTGGCACTATTGTTAGTTAAGTATGCTGTATGCAGTATGCCATGTATAACATGGAATATTTACGGAGGGAGGGGGCTAATCTCCCCAGCCAACTCCCCCTAGTTGCACATATGCCTTTATAACTGTTATATCAATGGCTGAAGTATTAATAAAGTATTGTATTAATAAACGTGATTGTAAAACAAATAAACTTTTTTATTTTAAATTCAACCTGTATAATTCAAAATAATGATGACTGTTCTTGCCAAAAAGTTCTTTAGAACAAATGTATATAATGTATAGTATACATTAAATTGAAATACCTAATTAAGAGGGCGGCAAAATTGTCTTCCGCCCCGGGCAGTCGATACCCACGCTACGCCACTATCGAATAGTTTACACCAGTGGTTGCCAACCGGCGGTCCGCGAGAAAATTTAGATGGTCCGCAGAAAAATTTAAACGTTACTTACAGAATCTTTTTATCGTTATTTCCACAAAAAATTAAACCCTAGACATGGTATTATGTGGATAATAGATTAATTTGTAGCAAACAATTAAAATATTAAGTTAAATATGATCAAAAAAAATACCTCATCGATTTATTTAACGGTATTTACGTAAAAAGCTATTTTAAGCTAAAAGTTGTCCGTAAAATTTCGAGTATGTATTAAGTGGTCCATTGAGTCCAAAAGGTTGGCGACCACTGGTTTACACTATCGAATAGTAGCGTCATAGCTAATATACAGTGCGCATGCTCGTTACGTTACACATTAGTTGTTATTTATATAAATTGAATTATTATTTGATTTATTCAGTGTCATTTTACGTACCTGTGTACAAATTACAGTAAAACTATTTTTAACGAAGTACGGATTATTTACATATTTAATACAACTCTTTCGGCCCCACCATAGATATATATATATTAAACATAATTAAATCTTATTATGTTATAGGGTATAACAGTATAAAATATTATGTAATGGAACATTTACCTCAAAAGGTTGAGAATCCTTGATCTAAAAGATCCTAGTAATGACTTTAGTCATATTTTCAGTACTATTTAATTAACTAGGTATGTGTTTTGTTAGATGATTATAACTATAATTTAAAATTACATTTTATCAACCATTAGATAACTTAGTTAAATAGTTTAAAAATGCACCTTGATTTAAATATTGAAAATTCATTGTAAAATTTTTACTTAATAAATATAATTATAGAAAAATGATTTTTAAGTACTTGTTAAACATTAAAGTTTCTGTAAAACCATAATCAATGCAATGAACTGTATACAAATTGTAATCATTTTCATTGTAGATGTGAACTACAACCCCTCGGCACCATTGATCGGTTGATAATTGCACAGCATACACCACATTGTCTAAAAGTCAATGAAGATTAAAAGATTAAGACGAAATATGTTAATTATTCACATTAATTGTTTTCACATAAAAACTTACTCATTTCAACACTTTGAACTACGCTTTGTTTTTTTCGTACGAATTTGTTCACTTCATCGGAAACAGCTTTTAAAGTATTTGTGTTGTCATGCAGTTGCAAATAGAAGTCTGATGGACTATTTACGAATGTTATGAGCACAGTCTCGACTTTGTTTTCGGTGATTTCTTTAATGAAAAAGTGATTATCATTTTGTGTCTTAATGCTATCAGTGGATTTAGTTGAATGATCACTAGAAGTCGAAACGTTGGAACGAGACGTATGTGGACATACAGGTGAAGGTGCTATTTTTACAAATAAAAAGTATTCAAAAAAATATTCAACGACAGTTTTGGAGTGGAAAGAATAATAATAAAGACTTACTATCATTTTCTAATTTAATCGTAGAACTTATTATTGTGTATTCCGAAGGCAAATTAGGAGTATTAGTTAGTATGTATTCATCAGACATGTCAATAGTAGGAACTACACACTGCCAAATAGCATCAAAAATATTAGTGTTGAAAAAAATTGATGTTTCGACCTTGTCCTTTTTCGCTATGTAATAAGTTGTATCTAGTGTACGTTCAATGTCAACAATAAAATCCGATAATGTGGCAGATAAATATAGATGACTATGCAGCATCAAGTCTATTTGATTTAATTTTGATTGCAAATTCTAAAAATACAAACAGTTATGAGTAGAGCGCGGATTTATATGCATTTGTATATTGATTTCAGTTGGTTGTATGATATGCTAAGTTAGCACAAAATTTGTTTTATGACAAAACGATTTAAACAATCGAATTTTATTAGAGCATATTTTTTCATATTTCGATATTTACTCATTTATTTTTATATTAATGGATTATTTTACGTTTTTAATTTTTTTGTTAGCTAATTTTGAAATATTTATTAGGTATTGTAATATAAGGGGTAAATCTGTTAATGAAAAATTTAGAAAAATATTATCAAGAAATGAAGACTACGACACACTAAAATATTAAAAATTTTTAACGGCGAAAGAGAATCAATTCAAACCGGCGAAAATTTATCACCAAATTAAATGATATATTTTTTAAATATAAACTTATACTTTTGTAGATGAGGAGGGATAATTTTCAAGATATAAAAATTTGTTGAATGATAAATGGCAATCAATGGTTTTTGAAAATATAACTAAAATTATTATCATACAATGCAATGTGCATTTAGGAAAGAAAATTTAATTTACAACATATTTTTGATTTTTGATTTCTTTTTTTCTTTTAGATGAAAATTATCTACAAAATGATTTTGGTTAGTAAATTCTTTTAAAAAGAAGAAGAATATAAAGTTTTTACAGTAGGGTTACAAAATTTTAGATGTAATTTTTTTTATGTATTATTTCAATTAAATGTTCAAAAATATCGAGTGCATATTTTTTTCTTTCATGCATATTTTAACACATTAGTACTTAACACATACTTGTGCATTTTAAAGATTTTTTAGCGCATATTTGGTTGGTTATTAATACATATAAATCCGCTCAATAATTATGAGTAAAAACAAAATCGATTTAAAATTTCAATACCTAGAGAGAACAGAATACTTTTTAACCAAAAGGACAATTAGAACAAATAAAATACCAATAGTTTAATTTGGAGTCTACATTCTGAATATTAATGTCATTTTTATAACTAATAGAAAATCGTATTAATTATGAAATAGCACGGTTGCCCAATCATTAAACAAGGAGTTCAAACAACGGGCGAATAGATTGGTGAAATTCGAGGCACATCTAACTTTTTAACAATTCACGAATATCCCCTCCGCTTGATTTATAAATAATGAATATACAAATAAATGTGTTGTATTGAGACTTGCGAAATAATTAAAAAGAATCTAAGGAGAGTGGCGATCGCAATCTTTAAGTAAATTTGGCGTCACTGTCAATATTAAGTAGAATATTGTTATATCTTATATACTTACATCTATGGAACTACTTAGGTGGTCGATTATATTATTTATACATTCAACAATAGACATCTCAGATTGATCTATCATGTTTAACACATTTAGCTCAACACGTTGTAAAGCACCAATTAAGGAAGATACAAACGTCATTACTTTATTTTTATTGTTATCAGAGTCGATATTTTTTTTCTTCGAATAGACTTCTAAGTGTTTTTGAATTTTTACCTTCAAATCCTAGAAAAATGTAAAAGAAATAGTTATAAAAACATATTACAGTATACATTTTAAAAAAGAAAAATAATCAAAAATCATATTTTTTTTAATACATAGTACTCAATTCAACAAGTAAATAAACAAGACGCCAATTGAAAAAAAAATTAATTTGTTATTTTTACTTAACACATATATTCAATTAAAATGTTATCCAATACTCAATAATAATCATGCAAATTACATAAATATTTCAGATTTAGACAATTTTCATTGATGTTATCCATAAATATCAAACCAATTTTAATAAACTCTACTCTAGACTTCCTATTATATACTATAATGTATACGTTTTCGTTAATCGTATATTGAACATTAACTCTCTATGCATACATTTATGTATATTTAAATAAAAATACATGCGAATAAAAAAATTATACTACGTTTAAACTACAGATAAATGAACGATATTAATAATTACGAGTATATATTATGTTTATAGGGTATCAATAATACCCTTCCACTGTACTTCCCCTTCCGGATCTTTTCTGAATGTTCTTTCGAGTAACCGAGGCCACACTAAAGCAGTCTTGTGACCGGTCATGGGCCTAGCACGAGTGAGCCGTCAACCGGCTTCCTTGTATGTTCTCGAAAGACATGCGTACGATTCTTTCTTTAATGCAATTTAATCGTTACAGGTTCACTTGATACGATATTGTGTAACTTAATTTTACTTTTATAATCAAATCATGTACTTTTCTAACTATTTTAACTCAGTTTTAATATGCTTTGTATTCTCCTACACCATCTTCATACCGATCATTGGTAAGTGATGTTATTTTAGTAAAATATAATTAAACAATTTAGAATTCGTTGATGTATACTAATATTAAAATATAGGATTTAATTATACTTAAGACTACGTATAAATGGAATGATTAATAAAATATACTTCATTATTCAATGCACTTTGAGATAAGAGAATTAATGTAAAATCCATAATGAGTTTTTATAGATATATTTTATGAATATTTATTTTAAGTATATATTTTTAAAATGTTTTTTTTTTTTTGTATTGCATTTAAACTAAAATAAATTGACTTTAGGTGTTATATTTTATAATAAACGTATCTATATATATATAGTTAAATAAGCTTTACATTTTGGAAGTAATATTATTAATTGGTTTTAAAAGTGTATAATCGTATTGAAATAATAAAAATATAATACGTGGTTTGATCTTCGTTAAATATATCAATAAAAGTTTAAGGAGTACGCGGAGTGAGTATTTAGAAAGGGAAAATTATAATGAGAGAGTGTAATATAATAAAGACTATGTACTTAATATAACTTTAAAGTATCCATTAAAAGTGTTGTTTGTTTCTGAATGAACGGCGTACAAAGAAACAGGTTTCCAGCATAAGTTATGATTTGGAATATTGCCAGCGTAGTAGTGGGGTGGAAGATAATGAAACCTGTTCTTCAAGAGATTAAGCACCCTATCGAACGTATGAACCAAAAGGATGAAAATAGACCTTTTTGCAAAATAAACAGAATTCAAAAAAAATGTAGGTACAAGGTCTTATAAGAGTAGGTACTTTTTTTGAAAGGTTTATGCCACGCCTCCAAGTCACGTATCTGGAACACTCGGTATACAGCTTCGGGGCAAGCACGACTTCGTTATTAATAACGATTGTGATAAAATAATAATAATAATAATAAAAATAAAAATAAAATAAAACGCCCACCGGACACATAATCAGTGGAAAGTGATGAAAAACAGGAGTCTGAACTTGAATATAATGTTAAGGTCGAAACTAAGTTTGCCCACAGAAGTTAAAATTCAAATGAATAATCACACGCAATTGAATACAGGTAAATTAGGCGTGATTGATTATAAAATCGTTTCCTTAAATTTTACACATCACTAATACACACTAAACTTGAATTATTATTAACCTTCCTTTGGGCGGTCCACAGGATCAACAAACAAAATACGACGAACATACACACCGATATCCACAAACGAATACATAAACGTCTGTAGATTTTATTAAAAGACAATAGTCTCATTAATATGTGGGCACATAATTCATACACGCAGGCGCGCGCGTGAAGTAGGTATATCATTCGGGTTATAATTATGACCCGTGAGGTCACGTCTGTTCGGGCGCACGCCAACGCGTGCCTAAGAGTTATTATGAAACATAAGAATAAAACGTTACGGAGCCACTTTCAAATGGGTCTATTATTCAACATTTGACCTGAGTAAATTTCTCTATAGGTTGGTTTTGATTGACAAAATATGCACTGCGATGTATTTAAATTATTACACAGTTTATACCTACAAATGCAATACATAAAAATTGTTGTGTTCTACAGGCGGATCGGAAGACGGTAAGAAGACCAAGAGCGCCAGAGCATTGGAAACCCAAGACGCAGGAGATGATATGGACGGTTTGGACCAAAGGGACAGACTTGAAGACAATACCGAAGAAACGACTAAAGTACCACCGGGATTTTTGAGTCCATCGGTCAGAGAATACTTAGAGCTTGGACGGTCAATTCCAGGTATTGTCACGTTATTTACAGAGTTGATTTTTTTCAAATCTAGGTTAGCAACAATGTGTCATCCAAGTACAGCTGATTAATCGTTACACGACAGACGAGCCGTTAGTAATTCTTACGCGTAGGACATACATGCCATCGCTGCCAAATAATTTAATATGACACGCGCGGGAATGTTACCTAATAGTGTTTTACCAACACATTATTCATTGGGATATCATTCGAGAGAAAGCTAATTGAAGATCTTTGATCACTAGTTCAGAAATTGTGGACACAAAATCGAAATACACATTAAGATCTATACATAATCAATATATATATTTAATATAAAAATCTACTAGAGTAGCATACATCTTTTCCATATCAACAATAAAAGTAAATTTTTATTATTCCTAATCTCTATTACTTCTCTGTTAGCCGATAATGTATAAAAAAGATATTTATTTATTTGTTTATTTGAAAATTAAATGGGTTTGGACCTAATTACATATTCAGGTAAAATAAAAATCTAGTGATATAATATAGGTATAATATAATATAATATAATATAGGTATAATATTACATCAATTAATATGCAAAAACTATATTAATAGAGACATGCATTTTAAAATAATTAGTGGTAGAACAGAAAGGATTAATTGTATAGGTATTTACAATTAGCATAACTTTAGATATTGGAGTTTTAGTAATATAATTTGTAGGTTGATTTTTAAATGAAAAAGATTATTCGATCTTGTGTTTGTTAGAGAAGCTTGGAATGTTAGTCGATGTTGAACATCGGGACAATTAATTTGGTCATTCAGTAATTTATAAATGAAATACAAATCTAGTTAAATTCTAGGGATTCGAGATTAAGAATAATAAGTAAAGGAGAGTAAGATGAATTGGTAGTTCTATATATATATATATTACACTTATAAACTATAAATCGTAAGAATTTATTATGAACTTTATCCAGCATAGTTTTTAAACCTATATTATATGGAGACCAGATAACAGAGCCGTAATCTAGAATTGAGCGCAATATGTCATGCTTTTAAAAATAATATTTTCTTTAAATTTCATAATATGGGTTAACATTTAAAATCTAACACAAAAGTCAAAATGTTTGTTCTTTACAGCGTACTTTTATTATGTTGCACGTTAGACAGAAAAATATGAGTTGTCATACTCTTGAAAAAATATGTTGACATTTTCCAAGCCATAAAATGTAAAGATAACTGATCATCCAACGTTATAAAAGTAGGTTTTTGATAATAATTTCAAAATTACACAACCCACCAATCGAAGACAAATGAACACGATGCCAATTTTAAACAAATTCACGTAATAAATAATATGTATTGAATATTAAAATCAAAACGTTATACATTTTAGATTAGATTAGATAACATTTTAAACGCAAGTAGATATTTTAATCGGGCTATTAACATAATATGTATACATCTATATACGCCAAATAAACAATATATCTATTTATTTATTTACAAGATAAGAGTACCATTTAAATAGCTAAAGCAAACTTAACTAAAGGGTGTTTAGTTTAAAGAACTTAAAGGTATGATTTATGATCCGAGCAATCAAACGCGATGAAAAATATATTACACGGTATTAATAAGAACAATAGATGGGAGGTATCGTAATATTATTATTGCACTTGATAGAATGCTCGTTTTAGAAAGGACACAACTAAACAGATGTGTAAGAATAATAATCCAATTTTATATTTTTTGCACGGTTAACAAAACCAATGTGGAAGGACAGTTGAAGATTTTAGTACAAATATTTCAAGGTCCATGTTCGGTTGGAAACATATAGATATCGTTCACGACGATACACGAAATATGTGTATTCGTAGTAGTAATTCGTTGAAAAAGTCTTAATGTATATTTTTAAAGACCTTAGAATACCATTAATTAGAAAAAGTACAAAATCGTATAACACTAAATTCTGAAAAAACTAAATTTTAATGAATCCTTCCTCTTCATAATCACAGTCAACAGAGATTTATTAAAATGAAGTAGTTTAAGGTGCATTTACATGTCCCATGTTATAGTATAAACGTGTTATAATTTATAATAATTCTCTTTATTTATGTTTAAAAAAAAAAATGTAATAATACATACATTTTTTAATATTTAAAGCTCTTTCAGTATTTAACTAGTACTAGAATACAAAGATACAATAATAATAAAATTGAATGCAGAGTTAAAAACGACATTCGTCACATAGAAACAGAAGAATCAAAAAAAAAAAAAAAATATTAACTTAGATTAAAACTGTTTGAAATACTTAATTACCGTCTGCAATGTGTTTAATTATAAATTACGTATAAGCTGTAAAGTGCGTTTGATTTGATGTTCAATACAATTAAATTTAATGCATAGGCTGCTCATGTATAAATTTCATGACACGATATATTGTGCTTAATAATCAATAACTAATAGACGAGATGTTATACATAGGTATTATAATTCTAAAAAGATTTTCATACTTAACACTCCACCAAGTCATAGAACACAATAAAAATAAACACAAAATGAATCGAGTCGTTCAGTAAACAGTGAAATTCCTAGCAGACAAATTAAAAAAAAAAAATCAATCATTATTGATTGTACACCATTACTATTTCTCGCCCAGATAAAACGTTACAGAAATATGTATTATCTGTGCCATAGTCAGTTATTTTTATTTTTTTTTTTATTGTAGGGAGATATTGCAATTTTGGACTACAAAAATATTTCTAAAGACATAATTTTCCTTAGCTCTCTTGTGTTTTATTATTAAATTTAATATAAACTACCGAAAATATATTTTAAAAGTCATAAGACTTTATTTAAAAATAAACTGAAGTAATAAAAACTCAAAAGGAAAAGGTATAAATCTATCCGCATAGGCGTACGCAGACCTCTTTTTCAGGATATGCAAAAGACTGCCACTGCCTACCCCCCTCCCCTAAAACTGAAAAATAATTTAAGCCTTCAAAATTCTAGTCTTAATAACTATTTTATTTAAAATTATATTTTTTTTTCCTGAAAAAAGTGACTGAATAGCTATTTTTTAATCGTTATAAGTGTCTTCATAATTAAAATTTAAAATAAATTATGAAAAAAAAAAGTTAAATACATAACACTTAAAATGGTTTGAGTATTACGTTTAAATAGGGTAAATAAATAAAAATGTAATTATATATTTAAATGAAAAATAAAATAAGTTTGATAAAAAATCAAAATTAATCATAAAACAATTCTGCGTATTGTTAAGTTATTAAATCACCAATGTTTTCGGGATTCTAATTTATAGCCATTTCTTGTTCTGTAGTTGATAGCTATTTAATCTCGCTTAAATTATTGTACTTTTTAATTTAATTAACACATTAAATCGTTATTATAGCATATGATTTGTGTTTCAAAAATAAATTTAACTGTCTGGGACTAAGTATAAAAATATATCATAATAAAAATCATAATGTAATACAAAATCCCATAAAATACATAAGACCAAATATGTCATAATTTTTATTTATTTTTTGTAATCATAGAAAGAAGGCTCTATGTTTAGGGTATGTAGTTGCATACCCTGCTTACCCCCTGCGCACGCATTTGTCTGTCCGACTAATAGGTATAAAAGAGTGATATGAAAATATGTTAATACAATCTAGTAACGATAACTGAACTTTAATCTTCACCTTAAGATATTTGTATACAAATAATATAGTCATATTTAAGTTTTATCCCTGTATTACAGTTCTTATAAGTGACTGTTAAAAGTTCCTTTTCATTCTAGCAATATATATTATCAGAGCTCGTAACGTAAGAATCTAAAAAAGGTCAGGATAGGCGCAATGATATACACTAAGTTTTAAAACATGAAAAACAAATCATGTTAGAAGTGAAAAATAAATTATAAACATAGCAATTATTTTTATTACAATTTTATGTATTGTTTACATTTTTTTGCGGTCATCTGAAACGTTTTGTACTACTTAGAAATGTCTAAGACCTCTCAGAACCCACATGTAAAGGTTACGAGCCACGAACCCCCGTTTACTAAAATGATTATATTATAGAGTTAGACGAATATTTTTTTTATTATTTTGTTTTTTTTAAGTCGAGTCGAGTTCAAAATTCAAGTACTCGAGAAAAAATCTATGATAAATGTCGTTACCAAAAAAATAAAACATTAAGCAATAACAATATATTGTTATTAATTTATTTAAGGCATCAATCTCTCTGGTATTTTCTATCCAAAATAATTGGCTCCCAGTTATTTATAATTTTAACATATACAGTTTACTCTCGATTATAAGCTGTCTTCCACGGAATCGTCTACATACCTATATGTATACAAAAAAATATATACATATTGTATATTGGCTAATTTTTCTAAATCTCTTACTGGAGGAGAGAATGTTGACGAAGAAAACATTAATGAGTGGATAAATTGTGATGCCAATGATCCAGGATTTGAGCGTCTTAGTGATGAACAAATAGTCAGTGGAGCATTAGGTACAGTTTCGGAAAGTGAAGGTGAAGAAGAAGAAAACGATGAAGTAAATGAAGTAAAGCAAGTGAGCCATGAAGCAGCTCTAAAACATATAGACGGGATCATTAAATATCTAGAAGAACAAGACGATACAATTTTGTGTGACAAAATGTTATTAAAAAAACTTCAATCACAAGTTAAAAAGAAGAGTTTTCAAACGAAGAAACAATAACTTGTGACTGATTTTTTTGCACATAAATAATTTATAATTTTTATTAATTTTTCATTATACATGTACATACATTCATTGTACATATATATATATATATTTTAATAATACATATGTAATAATAATTTTCAGTTTCAATTTCCAATTTAGTTTTTATTATAAAATTTAATTAATTTTGCGGATTATCCGCGGAATTCGTTTATCCGTGGATGTCCTGCCACCCTATTCCACGGATAATCGGGAGTAAACTGTATTTTTTAATAGAATAGTAAAATAAACTCGAGTACTCTTATTTATGAGTATAAACAATTTTTTTGTCGAGTCGAAATGTTTTCATTAAGACGAGTACTCGTCCAAACTCTATAATTCTAACAATATTAATGTAACATTATCAGTAATAATAATCATTACTGTATTAACGGACCGGATTTAAACGAACGGATTTGTCTTTTTATCCTTTCCTGCGCAGGCAAACCAGGCACGGACTACCCAGTGTTGGCCGTGGTGCCGTACACGGACTTCTACTGCGACGACCAACCGTACCCGGGGTTCTTCGCAGATGTGGACACCCGGTGCCAGGCGTGGCACTATTGCGACATCGATGGGCGGCAGGCGTCGTTCCTGTGCCCGAACGGCACGCAGTTCAGCCAGGCCGTGTTCGTGTGCGACTGGTGGTTCAACGTGCGGTGCGACCTGAGCAAAGAGCTGTACCGCATCAACGAGAGGCTGTACCGGACGACGCCGCGGCCGGACCGGCCTCACAGGGTGCTAACCAAGGAGTTGCTCGACCAGATATTTCTCTGATCGGGCCGTCCACCCGCCCCGTGCACCGCGCGCATGACGCGGCCGAATAGAAGTCGTTGACAACCCCAACGCCGCGTAACACGCTGCTACGCACCCGTTACAAACCTTGTCGTGACGGCCACTACCGCCCCCGGTCCGGCTTACACCCATTAACGACGCGTCCCCCCGTCCGGCGTCCCGCGATAAACATCTGTTTCGCACGGACAATTCGTATTTCGCACACGAAACGCGATCTCCAGGTACGAATCCGCCGTCAAATGTCAACAACGAGTTTTCGATATTATTATTATAAATATCACTCGTTAAACTCGACGTAACGCGTAGTAGTCTTCGTTTGGTCCAGGTAAAATACAACGACGGAAATATCGGGTTAGCGCTGCGTGCGTGCACGTGCGGCGAACGAGCGTTTATGTATACACATTTTAATAGAATAGGCAATCGTTTCATATCCACCCATTGACAAATAATACTTGATATAAATTAAACGTACACACCGCATTTGCATCATTCGTTGCACTCCAACAGACGATCCATGTACACAATTTATGTCCATTCTTTAAGGCCGCTTGTAAATATTTGTTAATTTTTTTTTTCTTATACATGGAATACATGTAAATAATTCAAGCAACGTTTAATGTAAATAAATTCTAAGATCGCGATTGAATTATTACATATTACGAATGTCAGGTAAACGAAAGTCAACGAATATTGTGCATTGCATATTTTTAAAACAAATCATTTATATTATCTGGTAGTATTTATTTCAGTAAAAAAAAATCATATTTGTCATTTTTATTTATTTTTTCATTTTTAAATTCCTGCTTACATATTTAAGTATTAAATTCATAATTTAAACGAAAATCCACCGATAATTATATTTTTAATCAACTACAGAGTATAAATATGTTTGTGACAATGTAAAATTATTATATATTTATTGTATTCTATAATATTTATTGATATAACTAATTTTAGAAGAACTTGGTTTATTAATGTTATTATTTATAATTTTATAATAAAAACATATTTATAAATTTATGATAAATATAAACTAATAAGCTATCAGTAAAATAAATGTGTCTTTAAAATTAGAATTTAATATACTAATTCTTTAGCTAATAGCACTACATTTTAACGTCCTTTAATATTAAAATTACATTATAAATTATAAGTTTATACTCAAGGTCTGTATTACTCATTATTGCTACATGCATATCAAATAAATGTATAATATACCAATGTTTATATAGATGCGCCTACACTCTAACTACAACATGAATTTTGTAATTTTAATATTTTAAATTACATAATGAATACAAGTTAATAGTTTGTAACTTAAAAAATAAAGGGCCGGTTCAAGCAAAAATACTGTACTAGGAAAAATAAAATGTTGTCGCCAAAAAAAAAAAAAAAAATTGAGCTCTCATTTCAACTTAGTCCCTCTTCTTATGTTTTAGGTGACATATCTACATAAAAAATATTTAAATTTTATTATTTCAAAGAAATAATAATTAGAGTTGGTGCTATTTTATTTTAATGTCAAAATTGTATAGTTATATATATAATTGATTATAAATTCATTAAGTCTATTAAATTTTTTACTGTAAGTCAATATTAAAAATCATTATGAAGTGTCTTTTTTTGTACAAAATGTCATTATTTCTGTAAATATAAGCAATATTGCAACTATTAAATCCGTGATACATCCTGTATAATAACGACATATTTTAATCTTTTTTTTGTATTTACGTGACTTTTTTGTTAAAAATAAATCAAAATTGTAAATAAGTTTCAAAATATAATAACAACATGTTTATCAGTTATATATAAAAAAAAACACTATTAATTAATTTAGAATTTCTAGCGTTTATACACAATTTTACCAATATTGTTTGTTATATTTTGACTTTAAAATATTTCAATTATGGTCAGTTACTAAAACGTTCAGGGAACTTTAGTTCCCAGAACGTTTTAGTAATATAGTAATATAGTATACTATAGTTAATGATTTAAATTCAACATTGGAACAATACATAATTGATTGCAAAATTTTTATTTGCATATCAAACACATTAATAATTAATTTTATTAAGAAAATAGTTGATCCAAAAAATATAAGAGAATATAGCCGAAAAATATTGTAGCCGACCGTATTTTATCAGACAAAATTAATGTTGATAAGAACTGGATTTCACTCAAAAACATACTTTTTTGGCCGAAGTATATTTTATCAATATAATCATCTCTAAAAAATTCTATTTGAAAAATTAACCAATTTACATTAATTTATGCCAAACTTTAAAGTTTATAAAAATATTATCATCATTATTTTAAAATAGTAAATTATATGAATATAAAATAAAACAAGAATTTAGTAGAGATTTATTAATAATCGTAACTACCAAACATAATTATTTGTGCGTAACGAATTATTTGAGTTGTTAAATGTACCATTCATTTTTAATTAAAATGGAAGTTAGTTCACAGGTACAGTTATATTAAAATCAGATTATTTGAACTAAAACTTTTTATTAAACCATAAACATGTACTTATACTCAAGAAAATTTAATTATAGTAGGCCAAAATTGAGATAACTAACATTTGAGTAGTGTTAATGTATACGATATGTATTCATGCCCAGTTAATATACAAAGCATAGTTATGAGTGTCATATTTTAAGACTTATTACCACAACAACAAAATGTAATTAAAATTATATACCTATTAAAACTATTAAACTATAAGAAATGCAATTACATAAGTTAAAGTAGAGACTTGGAATACTATTATTGTTTGAAATGTTTACTAATTTCACTTTCGGCATTTAAAATAAATAATGCGGATCCTCAATAAACATTTGAAAACGAGAAATAAAAAAAAAAAAAAAAAAAATAAATAAATTGTTTGTTACAATATAATACAATGATTCAAATACAACTAGAGCAAAATGTCTAACATAATTCAATAACCATAAATTAATACATTTGGTGACTATCTCTTTTCTACCTACGGCATAACATTAAGTTGTAATTAAAATACCAATATGGAATTCACAGTATAAAAATATAATCAATTAAAAAAATGTAAATTTTTTGTACTTAATGTACAAAAAATAAAAATAAAGTCTAATTAATTTATTGAATATTTTTATAAAACATTTTCTATTTTTTTAAATAAGTTTTACTATTAATAGATGTATTTTTAATGTAATTTAATGATTTAAAATTCTTACGATAATAATATTTAAAGCATTCAAAAATGAGAATATAAAAATAGAATCCTATCATATAATTCAGAGTTGTTTCCTATTGATCACAAACCCTATAAACAAACTAAATTACGTTTAAAATATGCAGTGCAGTTTCAAAATATTTCGATGTTAATTTCAAGTAGTAATACACCATAAATAATTTACTGTTTATGTATACACGATATAAAATGCACTGTATCATGTGTTCATATTTAAAATAACTAATTAATACAATTTGAAATCTTAATTCTTTGAAAATATTTTTGAAATCACATAAACTTATATTATATTAAAATAATTGTCATAAAAAAAAAAATAATAATAATAAAAAAAAAATAAAAAAAAATTGTACCAGAAGAAAATTAAAATCATTTGGAATAAAAATACTCGAGAAATAGAGAAATATAATAATCCAAGTACTTATAATTAATTACAAAGAAATAAATAAGATTTGTTTAAGACGTAAAACCCGAAGATTTTAAACATTTATTTTACTATAGAATAAGCCCGTTTGAAAGTTTATATAACAATATAAACTTAAAATTAAAAAAATATTAAAATATTTTAGTTACATTTTCAGTCTATATTTATAAATAATCTAATTATTATATTCAAATATTCAATTCAAGTCCATAATATGTGAGTCAGGGACAGATTCACCAGCCAGCAATAATAAGAAATAAACTGTAATTATTTTACCTTCACATTTATACGTAAGTATTATTCACATTTATTAGTACCATATATTCTCTGAAAGTGAAGTTTAAATATTATTTTAACAATTGTACAAATATAAGTATTTTTGAAAAATCTCGAATTAGTGTCTATTGGAGTATTTGAAAATTATGTATGTTTAATGGACTATGTACATTTAAAATGTCAAGGTAAAATATAACTAGTTTTTCTCACTCCAATTAATTCTACAAAGGAACATTATATAATATTCATTAGATTCCATTCAAATAATACTATTAACCCTCAATCATACTAAAACTCAAAGTACACATATGTTGTTAACATTTGGAAAAGTGCTCAGAAAGAAACTCTAATATCATCTTTCCTCTTAAAAAAATATTTTCATAATTATATATAAATATTTTTGTATCGAGAAAACTAATTAAATTAAAAAAAATTACAATAACAACTTTAAATCAATATTATTATTAACTTAATTATGAATATATGAACAACTTTATTATAGTCTTTTTAACCTTTATTTTATAACTTAAACAAATGTAATCTCAGAAGTGTATATTGAATTGAAATTGTATTTATTAGGAATGTATATTAATTCTTTTAAAAGCAGGTACATTTTCCGGAAATTCCTAAAAATTATGTACAACTAAATATCATAGTTGTTTTGGTAAAAATTAAGTAAAAAACTAAATATTGGGAAAATATCAAAATATAATAACTATCGTCATCACGTCATCTATAGTATAAATTGTAATTTCTCCAAAAACCATCTGATTAGGTCACTCGATTATAACATGCAAATGTTCATTGATTATTTATCTTTATCTTATAAACCAAGTTTTTTTCCTTTAACACTAACTTGAAAACTTATAACCAGAATAGGAATTGCACTAGTTTTTTTCTTCGTTAACATTTTTAAAACAAGTATAGAAATACAACTTATTAGAAATCAGTTTCATTTTTATATATTAATAGTATGTACGAGTATAGAATTTTAGGAGGGAAGACAAGCACCCCAAATATCAATTTTACGGAGGCACCAAAAAATAGAGTTAAATTATTTAGTCAGTGTCTCAACAAAACGGTACAAGTTTTTTATTATTCATTCATGATTTTACATATTTTTTAATTAGAGCGTCAAATCATGATGATAGACGTTTGAGTAGGATTTCATACTTGTAAATTTTTAACACTTAACAAAATAAAAATTTTAGGGAAAGTAAAATTAAAGTTATATAAAAATGACATCTAAATCTAAAAGCGATAAGTATATATAAATATTACATACTAGAAGATTGGGCAACTACGCAACTTCAATTATTAGTTATCCTCATACATGGTATGCAAAATAAATGTCGCCTTACGATTTCGACACCATAGTTAAGTATTTGTCAGTTTTTTGTTTAATGTATGTATATTAATATTTTTATATTCAGTACTTTATAATGTTTAATAATGATTCTAATAGCAATGAAAATATTATTCTGAAGCTTTTTCCGTCACATTTCTTTAGGAGTAGCTCTTTAATATGCAATAATTGAAGAACACGCTCCAACAACAAAACATCTACACTTTTTCAAATTTTCAAGAGGAACAAAAATTTGTTTTAAAAATTAATAAATAATTTTAAAAATTTACAAAAAATATATTCAAATACCTTAGCAATAATTATAATTGATTTCATAAAAAAAAAATTCCGTTTATTTTTGAATACTCAAAAAAAATTGAATAATGTCTAGTTGTTGTACCATAAAATTATTTTTTTACTTAAAATGTACAAAAATAATGTAATTAATATGCAAATAGTAATCTTATCTATAACATTGCATAAATTATACATTGT